GATTTCTTCCTTCCTTTTTCAGAGAACATGAGTTATTAATTTCTGTCAGGACCAAAAAACAATTTTAACCAAAAACTTAGAAAGTGGATCTGGAGAAAATGACCAACTCTGTCTTTAAAGGAGCAATTTGTAACTCTGACACCTAGCTTTCGTTATTGTATTGATTGAGAGCCCCCTGGTGATGGAATCTACATACTCTCCAGATGGATTTCTTTGGGAATGGTTGGGTGCCTTTTTGATAGTAAAGGGTTCCGACCCCTACAATAGGGCCAAATGTTCAGCTACTGAAGTGCCCGTTGCTATAGAGCAGAACTGTGTGTACTGATTCTACTACATTCATCTTACTGTCCACATTTTGTTAAGTGTTTGCACCCTCCCTTTTTCTTCCTTCAGCTGCTCTTCTTCCACTGTATATCTGACAGAAAATCTTCCCAAGGTGTGTTTGCTTCACTGCTGATCGATACGTTATTTCATCTCCGACTGAACTCTGGAACCTTTGCTATTAAAACACATTTGTTGTTGCCAGCTCTAACCAAAAGGCATTGCCAATCACCTACTGAAACCGCAAGGAGTGAAGACAGTTTTCTCCTCAAAGCTAACAATACAAAGGTACTCCTGAAGGCGTTCTTGTTGCTTTTCAGAGTTGTTGCCAACTCGCAACAGGAACGCAGTTAACTCAGGTTTGACATCATTTCCAGCAATGAGATCTGAGATCCGAGTTGCGAGGTAAATGGAACGCACCATGTATTAAGCCACTTCACAAGTCCTTTTTTTTTTTTTTTACTGAACAGTACACCACCGTGTTCTTTGATTGCATGAAGATGACCTTGTGATGGAGAAAAGCTGTTTTGCCTGGTTTGTGTTTTTATCTAACCTAGCCAAGTGGTTGATGGTGGCGCGCACTGCACATGGCGATGCATGACTCAGCATTTTTTTACGTATATTGGTCGCACAAGTATACAGGACACAGCCCCCTTTTAATGATTAAAAAACAATAGGTATAAAAATGCATCATAGACCATCATTTGACAGTACACAGTACGTTGGACCAGCTGTAGAAAATCAAATAGAACGCTGTATCAGGTGTATCATCCGGCCAACAGGTTTATCGTACAAGGATTGTTGATTGGGGTCCCTGGCGAGGATAAAACACTCTTAGAATCAACTATCTTGGCAAAATGTTAACTTAGCTTCCCTAGAAATATTTCATGAAATGTACTTATCGTGCAGATTTTATAAACATTATACAAAAGTTACCGTTTATTAGCGCACTGTATTGTAAAGAAGTGTGTACTGTATAAATCTGTATCTGTGCCTTTCTCCTTTAAATGTATTGACAATGTTCCCCTTACATCCATTTCAAACTGTGACACTTTAAATGAAGACCATTGGGAATGGAAATCAATACATGGTTCTATATTAAAATACAAAAAAATCCATATTTTCATTGTTGACTGAAGTCCACAAGGAGTCCATTACAGGACTGCTATTCAAAACACCTCACAGAATCAGAAGTATTAAAATTCATACTGAAGGGAAGAGAAAGCCCCAGTGAGATGTTACAGAAGTACATATCTCAGGTCTCCCATACGTCTAAGGTTAAACAAATGAAAACAAATAAAATATAGTTCACTCACTCAAGGTGAGTTTGACTGTTCTTCTCATTTCCACCATTGTCTGTAAACGCAATTGTTAGAATTAGTGCTGGAAAAGGATAAAGGTTTAAGATTAAATACGAAATTCCATTATTTAAAGTCACAGTATGTAAATTCCGCCACCAGGGGGCCCTCAATCAAAACAATAAGAAAAGACGATGTCGAGGCTGGCGGGGAATCATGGGAGTGATTCTCTCTGCTACTCCCTCTGATAAAACGAACTCCGAATTGACCGTAGTGAAGACGAATGGCGAAACCAACTTCAGGAAGAGAACATGTTTCCCAACGAGCTAATGAATCCGAGTATAATTCACAAGATGTTTTTTATTACAGCAGCACATACAGCAACAGTGCGACAGATATTAGTAGCAGTACGGGCTTGCTTGTGCTTGCTGTGTTTCCACGGCAACGATAAACATGTGTCGGCTGCTCTGTCACGGTGGCGGCAAGACACGTCCTGTGACAAATTTAAAATGACTGATTCTCTGGCTTTGATATTTATCCAAAATATTTTAGGTAATGTAAGTACTCAACAAAAAATGTATAACCTAGGTTTATTAGTTTTTTAATCAATGTAGACGTTTTAGTGTAAACATTCTGCATATTGTAGGTTTAATTGCGTTTTTAATCGCATGTTTGAAATTTCATGATTTCACATTTAAAATAGAAAACTGTTAGGCCTTTATTTAGAATTTTTGTACAACCCCCTCCCCCTGATGACCTAAGACACACACAGCTTTTTTTAACATGAGGCACAATCAGACTCCAGGGTAAGCTGAGAGAACGGAGGATATGGACCTAACACAACGCCCCATGAGACGAAAAAAAAATACATCATGATGTGAAGTGAATTAAAGAAACATTAACTCAGGTTGTGTTAAATATTTCATCGGCTGTACCTTGGTGTATTTCTGAAGGTATTTAGGCATGTGAATGTCAAGAGCTGCACTTAATTTATTTATTTAATTTTGATGAATTTTTCATGGACATGGTTTCTAAAGAGGGACCAGAGAGAGAGGAGTGACAAGCAGGGGATATTGTACAAGCTAGCTGGATCTTAAATAATAAAAAAAAACGCACACAGGTTTCTACAAAAAAAAGAAAAGAGCAAGAATGAGGACAAACCAAAGCGACCACAGCAGAGAGGCATCCTGGACAACAGGGCCTTGATTATATAACCTGGGAGCACCGGGTCAAGATGTTCCCAGGAGGCTCCAATTAACACACTCATACACAAACATTGAAAACAGCAGGGGGCGTCACACATTGGTATTCTAAAAAAAGAAGTGTCCTACAAAGTCTCATCCCAGGTCAAAATCTGAGGCTGTCCTACTCTCAGTCTAGTGTCTGTTAGGGTCTGTGAAAAAGGCATCCTTAAGCATCTTCCCTTTTCACACAATGAGAACAGAAGATGGTCTGTTTGCTAAGATTTAGGCACAAAAATCTTCCTGGTTGAGTTCAGGAAACATGGCATGAAATCATAACTGGACTTCTGCCTCTGTCTCCTGCATTGTTTGACCCCGTCTACTGACCCGTCTGTCTCGTCCTTCAGACCGCAACATCACTGTAAACGTAGCCAGGCGAAAGAGGAGTGATGTTGTTGGTGCATCTTGATGGAAAAGTTAAAACCAGGAAAGGTCACTGTAGTCTGATTTTATTCTTTCTGCTTTTTCTAAACACTGGACAGTGAATCCACACTGCTCTCTGCTCAGCCAGGCTTTCTTATATTATTCTTCCAATAACTCATTTAAGTGTTTTAAGAAGAAGAAAATCTTGGTGCTCATTCTTGTCTGAGCTGTTTGTGAAGCTGTTGTCAGCTGGGATGTCTTACAGCTGCTACAGATGACAGATTTTATTCGTTCCTTTTTCAGAGCACGAGTTACTAATTTCTGTCAGGACCTAAAGACGATTTCAACCAAAAACTTAAAAAAAGTGGATCTGCAGAAAATTACCAACCCTGCCTTTAAGTTCACTAAGTGTATTTATCCAACTAAATCTCAGCTCAGTCAGTGTTTCCCTGACCAATCATTTGGAGTAGCAGCCTGCCACCTTGATGCAACCTCCGACCCCCCCAAGCCATGAAAAACCTGATTTATGGAATTTATTCACTTATGTTTTACATGCATTTATTTTATTTTAAAGGCATTATATGCATTTTTTTTGATCCAGCAGATGTCGCCCTTGAGCACCAGCATGAAACCAAAACAACTCGCGCTGCATTGTTGTGTTAGCATGCTAATGCTAGTGATCTTTATTATGCTGGTATCTTCACACTGCATGTAAATTTACCTGAAATGATCGTGATCTAGAAACACAGTTAAGCAGTGAGTACAGTATGTTATTCTTCTTTTCTCTAGTCCCTCAATTAAACAACTTTTATACTCGAGGGGAGGAGTCAGCCGGCCGTCCGGGCGATGTAAACAAACTGAAGATAGGACTCTGAAAACTCTGAAAACATCACAGACAGTGGGACTCGGGTGTTACACTCATTGTAGACAGTCATGATTTTCAGAGGAGATACTTGATTTATATTATATTTAAGTGTAAAAAAATCCCATATAAAGCCTTTAAGCAGAGTATGACCGTCTCTGATGCGTTTCACTGTCCTGAGCAATGTGCTGTGTTTGACTGTTTTCACCTGACTGACTCTTATCAGCGCCAGGATATCAAATCTTACCTGAAGAAGTTACAACAGTTTCCTCTCTTATACTATCTTCTATTGGCTTCTTTGCCCCTTACAGAGACACCGAGGGGGAAATCGCTGCAGCTCACTGTCTCTTAAGAACAACCCTCTCTCACGCTGTGAGGTGAACAGTTAGTTCAGTGAGTTGAGCCGCACAGTGGATGCTCCAGGCACACACACACACACTGAACAAGCCCTTTGTGCAAATTGATTAAACAAATGGATCCTAATGATTGAGTTCACGTAAGGCACTGGAGTGCAGCAGTGCATGTTCATGTGTTTGTCTTTAACAATTCCGAGCCCTTTAACACCTCACTTCTGACACAAGCAGCAGCAGCTCTCGGTTAAACAGTTTGAAAATGTCAACGCGTACGCTGCCGATTTAAGTCATTAGCATGCGGGCAGAGCTCCAGGTGAGGTAAACGTACCTGTTGGGATTTGTCCGGGAGCGCCACCGCTCTCTCTCTCTCTGTCAATACTGAAACAGCTTCCTGACAGAGTGCCGCTGTCACATGGGCCTCATCCTTAATCAGTCAACGTAACATCCTGCCTCACAGCCCCCTTATGTTTGATCACAATGTGACAAGAGAAGTCTTATTAGTCCTGTGTACCCTACAGTAATTAAACTCATCTTGTTATTTTCTATTCCCTCTGCCCTCCAGCCTGAGAACCGGCTCCTCTCCATCCGTTCCCTTCCAACCTCTCTGTAATTATCCATCTGCACAGCTGCGGGAAGCCGGCAGGTTGAAGGTAAGTGTATTTACTGCATCACCCTCAACATTAAAAAAAACAACAACAAAGAAACGCTGAGTCATTGATTTTCCTTCCTTTTTTTTTTTTTTTTTAATTCAAGGCGATGTAGGAACGTTGATAACAGATAGAATAAACATTTTTGATGTTGTGTTCATTTCCTTCCCTTCAGTGCAAAGTGTCGCACACGCTGCACGTCTAATGACTTAGCCGACAGCGCGACTGTGCTCAGTCGTGGCTCTCTGTTCACATCACTGTTCATGTGCAGCTCGCGCATTTAGCATTTATAGGAGAGTGTGCAGGGGCCTCTGTCTGGTAAAAACCTAGTTTCTTGTTGCGTTCTAATGAGCACACGGGAGACACATACATTTTGCAAAGAAGAAAACATTGTGATGATTTTTGATCGTTGCTTTTGGTATTCGTTGCACGCTGAGCTTTTTTGCTTTAAAAACTCGACAAGGTGAGGATGATTCAGAAACATGGTGAAGTTCATAATAATGACATGATCACTGTCTGGAATGCAAGATCTTTATCTTTGCTGGCTTTTGCATTATTGAGATGATGAAACTTTGTCAGTGGAAGTTTGTGTGTTCATCCAGTTCATGTGAATGCTTTTAGTCCCTGGACGGAAATATCCTTGAAATTTGGCAAGAAAGTCCACTGGACTCATGATGTGATGATTAGATTTGAAGGTCAAGATCCCTGTGACATCATGTCTGTCCCATTGTTGAGATATATAGTATCATAGCAACACCTGGAGGGGAATGTTGTACTTGTAAACATCTGAGATTATAATGCCACCCATGACCAATTAGTGCTCAGGCTCTGCTTACTCTGGCTTTGGGCTGAGGTTTTTCAAAATGTGTACTTCGATAGTTTCCTAAACCGCGATCTTTAAAATGACACTATCTCTGTTATTTTTTTTTACGTTCGATAGCATCAGAAAGTACTGAAACTTTGGAAAAACAAAATAGAGAGAGATAGTTGACCCAAGCAGCGCAGTGGAAGGCCGATGATGAGAGCAAAGCAGTGAACTGAGAAATGAGACTTTATTTAAGGATTGTTTTCAGCGGCTACACGTTCAGCATGTCTGCCGATTCCTGCAGTTAGGTGCTCGATTTAAGCCTGATTTGTATACTTTATGCATTTAATCAGCGTCATAGCTACGCCATAGCAACCAACGCCATTGTGAGCACATGTGCATAGGTGTTTCTTTTATTTTTAAAGGTTCATATTTTGGACTCCCCATGTCCCCTTCTAGAGATGGGACAGTGGAGTCAGAAATCAGGGAGTCAGAGAGGGAGAGGGCCGGACCCTCTGGACAGGCAACCTCTGGATTATTGTTTCTGCGTAGCTCTGCAATACTGATATCTGCAGTTTCCAGTGCAGTCACATTGTCTTCTTAATTATTTATTTATTTTTTGCGAAAAGGAAACCATGGCTACTGAAAGTGTCTGTACTGTGTTTGAGTTAGAACTGATAAATATAGCAGTTGATTAAACTGCGATTATTGCAAAGAAGAAAAAGAAAGGAGACATCAGAGGAGATGGAATGTACAGGAGGAGGAGGAGGATGGGGGGGGGGGATTTATGGACTTGTTCGACCACTGAGGAAATGTTATTCTAATCATTTCAGAAGTCTGCAAATATATCGTCATCTGCAGCCATTAATCTCATTTCAGAATACACACAATATGCCCGTAGCAAACCACAGGACTTGTGGTCTGCATCGTTTCAATGCGTAGTTACAATTTTGAGGAGGTGTGTATGTATAGGCTTAAGCATAGGATCAGAGAGATGAGCCTAAGGTGTATGCTATGGCTTAGATTTGATTCAGAAGTATAAATCAGGTTGACATTTACATGCAGTTGCACTCCGCCCCTCCCACACCTCAAACAGCCCCCACTCAGCAGAGTGATCTCATTCACACGCCTCTGAATACTAAAGTTGAAGTCCTTTAGGCGTCTCATAAAGTTGGAGAAGTTCCGTCAGCAATCTGGTGCAGAGAGACAATGATGTCACCTGGTAGCTGTTTTCATTTAGTCCTGACCTCGGGAGTGTTTGCTGTGAGCTTTAACACCACCGCACAATGATTGACAGCCAGGATTGCCTGAAACACAGCAACATAATAACAACATAATAAAAAAACTGAAAATCCAGAGAGAGGGGCCGGGTCTGTGCAGATACAGACATCCCCACTCACTTCTTCTTCTGGATTATGAGTGATAGTTGATGTTGGAATATTTTAAAATGGACATGTTCCTTTTTTTTTTTTTTTTTTCGGGGGAGAATTCTAAGAAGGTTTCATGTTATGTTTTTGGGTCGTATAAATGCAGAGAGTGGAGTTTTCCAAATGGAACAGATTTCGTGGATCAGCGTTTAGCATGTTGAGGGAAAAGATATTCAGATGTTGGCACCAAATTGTTGCTTTTGGGAGCTTTTTCTCGTTTCACAGCACGACACACATTTTAGTGTGTGTAAGAGCAGTAGACTCAACTTGTGGTTTGTGTATAATTTAGACAACTTCACTAGTGTTGAGCACTAGAATGGAGAGCTATTATATATTTTCATACCAATACTTAAAGTATGTATAAAGTGATACAAAATATGTACATGAAGTTTGTTATGCAACAGAAGGCTTTCATTAACCACCATCTATGACTTTAGTTGTAAAAATAAAACGCTTTGTTTAAAATTCAGTTTCAAAGTTGTGAAAAGTTGAGCAGTAATCGCTGCTTTGGGATGCTGTGGGCATGTCCATTGAATGCACTGAAGCCACGCCCATGTGTGGGAAAGACACACCTCCCTCAAGCTTTCTAAAACTGTTACGTCCTGACAGTAGCGGGTTCATCTGGCTGCCCTAACATGTTTGAGGAACCAGAATCAGATTCTGAACCTGAACACTGAGCTCCCTGACGGTCAACATTTTTCCTCTCAGTCTGCCACAGAATTTTTATAAGCTACAGATTTTTGCTAAAATCAGCAATGCATCATACATGCCCCCCTCATTTGGCCCCTCCTCCCAAAAAAGTGAAACATAAAAGTAGTCTAAAGCTTTCCAATGGTCTAAATCTGTCATTTCACATATTTACAGCTTTTTCCCTTATCATATAAAGTGGGATGGAGAGAAATGTCTGAATTGGATTTACTCAGTCTTCAGTTTTGTAACAAATACTAAAATGCTACAACCTGTTCTGGGGCACTCGGCTACAAGTCCACAAAAAGTCTTACAAATATGTTGTTTTCCCTTTTCTCAAGGCATAGTTATCTCCTTAAACAGGAGAGCAGCAAGGTAAAAGAACATTTTCCAAACAGAAGGAAATGGATGATGGGCAATTGTTTGGCTATATTCTGAGCAGTGAATGAAAACTGTACAAACTTTGGTCTCTCATGAGTATTTCCAGCAGAAGAACTCGGGTTTGTTGGCTTGAGTTTACAGCATGTGGGGTTTTATTGACCATTCAGCTCCATGGCACAAAGTTATAATGCATCGCAGGCTTTTGACCCACCACACTTTTTACACTCTAGTCTGTATTACACACTGATGGTTTGTTTTGGTCTTTTCATTGGATTTGTGTTGACTATATATGTATATATGTGTGTGTGTGTGTGTGTGTGTATATATATATATATATATATATATATATATATTTGTGCACTGTATGGCCATTGATGTTTTTTTAATTGCTAAATTTCAATTAATTGAATTTTTTAACATGTTTCAAATTCCATTATTTTACTTCTTGTTTAAAGACCAACCTGCTTTTATTTTGGAAGCTAAAAAGGAACTTCCAGGAGATTACAACATTTATTTAACCATGTACAAAGAAACTTATAACATATGGAAAACAAAGTGCAAACCGTTCAAGAGCACGGTAACAAATGTAAATGTTGGATGTCACAATGTGAATATAACTTATGACTCATCAGCTGAGCTGTCTGGCTGATTTCACTTATTAATAAACTCCCAAAGGCCCAGCAGGGTCGTTCTTTTCCATCACTATGACTACTGGGAGACTTTGTGGGGGTTTACATACTGTGCACCTAAAGGGACAAAATAGCGCCATCAACACGATTAAAACGATGAAGGCATTCATTTCTGACCTACATCCTGATTATTGGGTTCATGTTATTTTCACAACAAATGTCATTAGTTGATTCATATTAGTTTCATTTCCCCATGTCATCCCTCCAAGTTTCTGCAAAGTGCCAAGCGCCCCCGGGAGACCCCCCCCCTGGGCGTTTGGACCCCCACTTTGAGAAACACTGACGTACTGTATATCATAAAGTCATGATACCAGTTCTACATTATTAATGTACGCTGTAATGCTAAACATCTTCCAGTTAATTGGATGTATGTTTATTAAATGCAACGTAAAAAAAACTGGACATTCAATATTTTAAAGAGTGTTTTCTGATACTCTGTGGCTCAGTGGGGATGTGTTGTGTGTCAGGAAGCTTTAAACAGCGTCTCTTTATCTCCAGCATGAATAAAACACCGACGTTCAGATGCAGCTTTCAGCCAGCAGCACTTTAAACATTTGGTCCACCTGAGAAATGTTAGTAAAAGATCCACAAAGTGACTATTTAGCCTGGAAGGGCTTGACTCTCTGTCAGGGTGGATATGATTAATTCAAGCTGTTGGCTCCTGTTTGTTTGTGCCCCCTCCATGGTATACTCCCTTTCAGTTATAACAGAGTTCAGTGACAGCTGGCGCACCGGGAGCACGCTGGTTTGCAATAAACAAAGCATCTGAATGGACTGGCTTTTATTTGGCCAATATCTGCCAGGAAAAAAAGGATTAGGATGACATTATTTCAGGGTCTGTTAGCTCTTTTGTTTGAGATGTTTTTACACTATGGGCTCTTTTGGAACACGCTCAGTCTAAAGCGTGTGGTGCTAAGTGTATCGGGGCGACTCTGACTACCTTTTGTTAGTTAAGCGGTGCACAATCTGGGCGCGACGTAAGGCACAGGGTTCAAAGGGGATGGATTAAGTGGC